AAAATGCTCCGCAGGGCGCAGCTTGATACGACCACAGAGGTCGAACCCTGAACAGTTGGGGCAAGTATGGACACAACATTCAAGCTTGATACAGCTCTGAATTTGGATTGTGATTAAATATTTGAAACAGCATAGGTTTCTGACACAGAATGAATGTGGTCTAAGAACTTAAAAATTTTAAATTGGACATTCACCTATTATGGTCCAATATCCAAAATCTAAATACATGGTTAGATTCACCATATCAAAGAACCCTTAAGAATTCAATTTTTGATGAAATCAAACAAAGTTTAATTTTGGACCCTTTTGACCTCAATGTGGACAAAGTTGATAACGGGGCCAAAAAATCAAAAATCTAAATACATGGTTAGATTCAGCATATCAAAGAACCCCATATATTCAATTTTTGTTGAAATCAAACAAAGTTAAATTTTGAACCCCGATTTGGACCAACTTGAAAACTGGGCCCATAATAAAAAAACTAAATACATGTTTAGATTCAGCATATCAAAGAACCCTAAGAATTCAATTTTTGTTAAAATCAAACTTAGTTTAATTTTGGACCCTTTGGACCTTAATGTAGACCAATTTGAAAACGGAACCAAAAATTAAGAATCTAAATACACGGTTAGATTCGGCATATCAAAGAACCCCAATAATTCAATTTTTGATGAAATCAAACAAGGTTTAATTTTGGACCCTTTGGACCTCAATGTGGACCAATTTAAAAACGGGGCCCAAAATCCAAAAACTTAATACACGGTTAAATTCAGCATATTAAAGAACCCCAAGAATTCAAGAATAAAACCCCATTGAAATTGGTCAAGAAATAAGCAATTTATACGAAGTACCTTCTTTTGCACAATACTGTGCAATTGAATATTTCTTGCTATTGCGCAATACTGCACAATTGACAATTTCTTGCTATGGACTAATTTGAAAACAGGGCCCAAAATAAAAAATCTAAATGCACAATAAGATTCAGCATATCATACAGCCGCAATCATTCAGTTTTTGATGAAATCAAACAAAGTTTAATTTTGGACCCTTTTGACCTCAATGTAGACCAATCTAAAAATGGGGCCCAATATCCAAAAAAGTAATACAAGGTAAGAACCCCCAAAAATTAAAGACTTTAAATTAATCCCATTGAAATTGGTTAAAAGATTTGTATTTATTTTCAATTGAAGATTTCTTGCTATTGCACAAACCTGTGCAATTGAAGATTTCTTCCTATTGCGCAATACTGTGCAATTGAAGATTTCTTGCTATTGCGCAATACTGTGTAATTGAAGATTTCTTGCTATTGCGCAATACTGTGCTATTGTGCAATACTGTGCTATTGAGCAATACTGTGCTATTGCGCAATACTGTGTTGTTGCGCAATACTGTGCAATTAAAGATTTCTTGCTATTGCGCAATACTGTGCAATTGAAGATTTCTTGCTATTGCGCAATATTGTGCAATTGAAGATTACAAAAACTTTGAAGAAAAAAAATATGAACCCCAAAAAATTGGAAAAAAAAAATCCCCCCCCCCCCCCCCCCCAGTACAATTTTAGAGAGATCCATACACTTACATACAAGTTATTGTCTGGAAACTAGAAAAAATGCAATGAAGTTTATTAAACTAAAGTTATTAGCAAATTTCCAATGGAATTTATTAACAATAAAGTTTTTGGCAAATTTCCAATATACATAATTTAAAAGCAGTTTAGGTGAGATAAACAAAAACGCTTCATCAGCAACATTTTATATTGGCAAATTTCCAATGAAGTTCATTAAACTAAAGTTTTTGGCAAATTTCCAATGGAATTTATTAATAATAAAGTTTTTGGCAAATTTCCAATATACATAACTTAAAAGCAGTTTAGGTGAGATATTCAAATGAGTTTCAATTACCAACCTTACACTGCCTTTAAAATTATGTTTTGTACTTAGGTAATTGTCCTTTAACCTGGAAACCCTTTTCCCCCCCTTTTTTGCACCTTATTCCTTAACGGTTTGAGCCATAACTCCCAAAGACAATTCTTACCATTCCTTTGTGGTATTCCAATATCCAAAATCTAAATACATGGTTAGATTCAGCATATCAAAGAACCCCAAGAATTCAATTTTTGATGAAATCAAATAAAGTTCAATTTTGGACCCTTTAAACCTCAATGTGGACCAATTTGATAAACGGGCCCAAATATCAAAAATCTAAATACATGGTTAGATTCAGCATATCGAAGAACCCAATATATTCAATTTTTGTTGAAATCAAACAAAGTTTAATTTTGGACCCTGATTTGGACCAACTTGAATACTGGGCCCATAATCAAAAAACTAAGTTCATGTTTAGATTCAGCATATCAAAGAACCCCAAGAATTCAATTTTTGTTAAAATCAAACTAAATTTAATTTTGGACCCTTTGGACCTTAATGTAGACCAATTTGAAAACGGGACCAAAAATTAAGAATCTAAATACACGGTTAGATTAGGCAATTACCCCCAAAATCAATCCCAGCCTTCCCTTTGTGGTATGGTACCTTGCAGTACAATTTCAGAGAGATCCATACACTTGAACACAAGTTATTGTCTGGAAACTAGAAAAATGCTTATTTTTGCACCCTTTTTGGCCCCTTTTTCCTAAACGTTTAGGGCAATTACCCCCAAACTCAATTCCAGCTTTTCCTTTGTGATATGGAACCTTGTAGTACAATTTCAGAAAGATCCATACACTTACACACAAGTTATTGTCATGAAACTAGAAAAATGCTTGTTTTTTGCCCCTTTTTTGGCCCCTAATTCCTAATATTTTGAGGCAATTACCCCCAAAATCAATCCCAGCATTCCCTGTGTGATATGGAACCTTGTGGTACAATGTCAGAGAGATTCATACACTAACACACAAGTTATGTCTGGAAGTTACAAAAATGCTTATTTTTGGCCCCTTTTTGGCCCCTAATTCCTTAACTGTTGGTACCATAACCCCCAAAATCAATCCCCACCTTCCTTTTGTGGTATTGAACCTTATGGTAAAATTTCATAGAGATCCATTTACTTAAACTAAAGTTAGAGTGCGAAAACCAATGTGTCTTCGGACGACGCCGGACGAGGCCAGACGACGACGACGACGCCAACGTCATACCAATATACGACCGCAAAAATTTTTTGCGGTCGTATAAAAATTACTTGATATTTAGAAGAAATAAAAATTTTGCAATTTTTCCATTTATAAAGAATGGTTAAAGTGACACCACCAAAATTCAAACTTGATCTGTGTTTTGTGGTAATAAGCATTGTGTATAAGTTTCATAACATTTGGTTGAGGCAAACTTAAGTTAGATACAAAAACTAAAAATTTTGCAATTTTTCCATTTATAAAGGGGCATAACTCTAGAACGGTTAAAGTGACGCCACCAAAATTCAAACTTGATCTGTGATTTGAGGTAATAAGCATTGTGTATAAGTTTCATAACATTTGGTTGAGGCAAACTCAAGTTAGAGAACGGAAACCAATTTTGGGACGTACGTTTGTACGTACATACAGACGGACAAGGGTAAAATTTAATGCCCCCACCGCTACGCCGGGGGACTAAAAATCATCAATACTACAGAATCAGATTTAAATGAGATTTCAGTACCTTAATGTACAATGGGCAGACAACTATAAAATCCGATGTACCCCATGATGTCAGGGCTAAATCAAAGTGCTTGTGAGCACTGAACGGTAAAGATTGCTTTCAATTTACTGAACTTCTTTGGAAGCTGCATACATATACGGCATGTTTCTGAAATGTATACAGCCAGTATAAAAATAATTTGAAGTTGGTACTTGAAGAATTTATTTGCAAAGCAACATTTTTATCCAATTTTCCACATAGCTCTTATTGCCTGCTTTACTCATGGTTTGCTATCTTAGCAGAGAATTGATAACATTTTATGGAAATGTTGTTTTATTTTAATATATTTTTATTGTAACTATTAAACAGACATTTTCTTGTGAATTTGTAATAAATAGTTCTTGCTATAAGGGACAAACATTGGAACAAATCTATTCAACATTTGCAGGGGAGGTAACTGTTTAACACCAGATTTCCCACTGTATATATGCAATGCACAACTTATGTAATTTAAAAAATAATATTTTTCTTGTCAAGTATAGTTATACACATATACATCATTTTACAACTTGAATATCTGAGTAAGTATAGATTATAACATGCCCTTTTCCATATTGGCCCTGGTATCATCCCGAGACTCCCATATCGGCCTCGAGGCTTTAGCCGAGGGCCGATATGGGTCGAGGGATGATACCAGGGCCAATATGGAAAAGACATGTTATAATCTATTTATCACATATTTAAGTTCTGCAGAAAAGGGAAAAAAGTTCAATTATAACAATTTAATGAAATATAACAGGTAAAATCTTTTAAAAATTTTATCACAAAAGTTTTATCACATTTTCAAATTTAGTTTTTATCATTTACTCCATAGAAATTTATTGTCACATTTCCACTTATTTTGGAATATGGCAATACACAATTGCGTAATTCTCCGGCACTTTTTAACCACTCCTTTAGAATTTTAATGTCACTTTCAGTTTTTTTTCTTGTGTTAGCGTTTTTCATTTGCTCTACAAAGTCTGTCATTGTTCGCCGTCGTTAAGGACACAATGACGTCACGTCATTTGAAATCAGGGCACAATAACCAATAACCTCTTTTTTGCCCCGGGCAATTTTGAGGTTATTGCATATGCAAAACCCAACGTATTCGTAACAAATATGTGATAAATATAATTAATCAATTGCTATACTTGGGCATGGATATGTTCACCTCACTACACTGGGTTGTATGAACTCTCAAAACTTTAAACAAGGCTAGGACGATATATCTATCCAGCCAATAACATATGGGTTTTGCTTGCATTTCATGCAATCTTTACCCAAAAAATTACATTGAATTCAGTACTTCACCTTTTTGAGAAAATCTATGGTCACTTTGAACAAAACAAATTTCAACATAAATAATTTATTCAACAAGCAAGTTATGCAACTTCATTACAATATCATAATATATCTGCACAAAAGTCTTGTTATAAACAATACCTAATCAGTTGAACATGGTAAAATATGAACCCAGAAGCATGCAGTTTTTTAAAATTACAAAATTTTCAAATTCTGTACATCTGTAACAAAATAAATGTGAAGTTTAATTTAACTGAATGTACACACAAACCACATATGTAGAATTAATGTCCATTTAATCAATACTTACTTGTAAAAAAAATAAGAAGATCTTTCCATAAATATTGTAAATAAAAAGAGGATTCTTAAATATTTGTTATAGCTATTATAAATATCTATTAAAATATATGTTCAAACACAATTGCCATAAAATATATCTTGCAATAAATATATGTTCAAAATGTGTTCAATCTAACAATAGAAATTCATTTAATATAAACACCTATTAAAAATTATTTCCAATGGTAAAGTAATGTGATTTAAAAGAATTAAAAGGAAGATTCCAGGTATACATCTTGAGACCTTGAAGGCACTAAGATCATTTTCTAAATATCCCATTTAGTGTGGACAGGTCAAGATTCAAAGAATCACACATCTTTTGGAGCAAAAAGGACAACAACAAAAAATACTGACAATTTGTTTCTCCCTATTTCAATGTGTGACAACAAATTAATTATTGTCAATTATCTTACTGGATCAATATCCTTAATAGTTTTATCCAGACTGTAAAAACAATTTATAAAGAAGTTTTGCTTTCATAAATACTCAAGTTTACCTGATCTACAGCTTTCTTAAATTTGTCTGAACCATCATTATAATATATACCAGGGTATTTTCTTTTATTATAATCATAACAGCTTTTCAACCCTTTTACAATAATAAAAGTGTAAAACATTATAAAAAATATAACAATTACACATAGTCTTTTCTCTTCAGCTTACTAAGTGTTAAATAAACTGAGAACCATTGTACTCTTCAAATATGGAAACAATTTCATGTTTAATAACTATCTTAGTAAATCATGTGTTCTGTTAGTATTGAACTTTTGAGCTACACTAAGACTTAACAGCTTCAATCATCTTTTGGTTTAAGGAATTCTCTGACCCTTTGTTTGACCTCTGTGGTTGTTGCCTCCTCTTTTTCTGTTAAAGCAGATCTTTGTCGTTTCTTTGCAAATTTCTTTGCAATTGTTCCAAATAATGTCTTATATCTAAAAAAGAAGAAAAAAACGATATTCATGAAATGTTAATCAGAGTTTAACATTATCAATAAAAGCACTGTTGTACTGAATTTTTTACACAAAGTGTATTTTGACATGAGATATAGGTAATTAACAGATTTTTATGTTTTAAAAACAGTTTTCTGTTAATTTACAAAATCTAAGCACATGTTAGAGAGCATACATCTCCACTAGAGTACAATTTACTGTGTTGAACATATTCAAAGTTTTGTCATAAACCTGGAATCCTTCACGAGTTTTTACAACCACTGGGCCATTGCCATTGCTGGTGAACATTTTGCCCAAAGTTATTACAAAACCTGAATATCATTGATTTATATCATTTTCTGTAAATTTGCCATTCATAAAATGTACAAATCAATTAAAACATTTTAAATATTTTTCTACCCAACATCATAGTAGACCTTAACCAGATTTGACACAACTTTAGGAACATTGAGTTTTCAAAGCTCTGTGATTGTTTGAGCCTTGCAACTGTTAAATTTGAGTGTTACCATGTAATATGTTGATGAAACATTTTCCCAACATACAAAGTTATAAGCTCAGTAACTTGAATGAATTGCTATGTGCAATCCTATAAGATATCTGCACTCATAGCACAACAGTAAGGATTTATCATAAAACTCCTTTTGATTACCAATTTAAAGTAATTAAGCAATTTATCATTCGAAACTCTTATTACCAAAAATTTGTAAGGGTTTCCTTCTAGATACTAGATTTTAATCATAAACAAGCTTCTGTCCAAGTTTGGTACAAATCCAGGATAGTTTAAGAAAGTTGTTAAAATTTTAAAAACTTTAACCAAAGAGTGAATGTAATGTTAACTGGCAGAAAAACTAAGTCCATTTATAAGTAAAATACGGAAAAAATGGAATTTTTTTTTACAAAATTTACTTCTGGATACTATCTTATGATCATAAACAAGCTTCTTTCCAAGTTTGGTAGAAATCCAGGACAGTTTAAAAAAGTTATTAAAATTTCAAAAACTTTAACCACAGAGTAAATGTAATGTTTCCTGGCAGAAAAACTAAGTCCATTTATAAGTAAAATACGGATAAAATGGAATTTTTTTTTTACAAAATTTACTTTTGAATATTATCTTATGATTATAAACAAGCTTCTGTCCAAGTTTGGTAGAAATCCAGGATAGTTTAAGAAAGTTATTAAAATTTCAAAAACTTTAACCACAGAGTGAATATTTGTGGACGCCGCCTACGACGATGACGATGGAATGTAGGATCGCTATGTCTCGCTTTTTCGACAAAAGTCGAAGGCTCGACAAAAATGAAAAGCAAACCTAAAATGTTACACTATAAATGAAAAGTAATTCTCAAATGTTAAACTTTGTTCCATAACGACAGTCATATTCATTTTTGTAAAGAATCAATAAATGCAAATCTGAAAGGGGACCAAAAAGGGAACTGGGCAATGTAATATTCTAGAGTAATTAAAATAGTGCCAAACATGAAATTAGTTCTTCTGATGCCAAAAACATTTGTACCAGATTTTAATTTGACAACATTGTGGTTGAAAAATATCCCTGCTACTTTTTATCTGTATTTAACATGTTTAAGCAGCAAATAATATTAATTTTTTTTTTTTAATAATCCTGTTATAAAGAAAAGATATTATATAAACTAGAGGCTCTCAAGAGCCTGTGTCGCTCACCTGTATTTACTGATGCTTTGGAAATCATGTAAAATAAGGTAAAAATCATAATTAATAGTATTAGATATTAGATATTATAATGATATCTTAGATAATAACAAAAAACTGCAAAATTTTTGTAAAATTACTAACTCAGGGGCAGCAACCCAACAACGGGTTGTCGGATTCGTCTGAAAATTTCAGGGCAGATAAATCTAAATCTGATGAACATTTTTGCCACCTGTCAGATTTGCTCTAAATGCTTTAGTTTCAGAGATATAAACCAAATTTGCATTTTACCCCTATGTTCTATTTCTAACCAAGTCGGCCATGATGGTTGGAAGGTGGGGTCATCGGACAAATTTTTTAAACTAGATACCCTAATAATGATTATGGCCAAGTATGGTTAAATTTGTCTCTGTAGTTTCAGAGAAGAAGATTTTTGTAAAAGATTACAAAAATTTACAAAAAATTGTTAAAAATTGACTATTAAGGGCAATAACTCCTAAAGGGGTCGACTGACAATTTTGGTCATGGCAACTTATTTGTAGATCTTACTTTGCTGAACATTATTGCTGTTTACAGTTTATCTCTATCTATAATAATAATATTCAAGATAACCAAAAACTGCAAAATTTCCTTAAAATTACCATTTAAGGGGCAGCAACCCAACAACAGGTTGTCAGATTTGTCTGAAAATTTCAGGGCAGATAGATCTTGACCTGATAATCAGTTTTATCCAAGTCAGATTTACTCTTAATGCTTTGGTTTCAGAGATATAAGCCAAAATCTACATTTTACCCCTATGTTCTATTTTTAGCCATTGCGGCCATCTTGGTTGGTTAGCGGGGTCATCAGACACATTTTTTAAACTAGATACCCTAATGATGATTGTGGCCAAGTTTGGTTAAATTTGGCCCAGTGGTTTCAGAGGAGAAGATTTTTGTAAAAAGCTAACGACGACGGACGACGGACGCCAAGTGATGAGAAAAGCTCACTTGGCCCTTGGGGCCAGGTGAGCTAAAAACTAATTACCTTCCGGCCATTTCTTCATCATCAACCCTCAGTTCTTTTTCTACAGCCTCTGAACGTGCAAGTTCCCTCTCTGTTGCAGCTGCCTTCATCATTTTCTATCCATAATATAAGAAAATAATTAAGTATATCACCTTATCAAAAGCAAATAACAACTTGTGCAAACATAATATAGTTTAATTGGAAGATATAAAAAGTGCACATCTAGAAAAAAATTTGATACTGTGTGTCCCAAAACTACAAAAAAGTGTGTTTTCCTATAAAAAAATCTGCACTAACAATAAACAGGAATTAAATTTCTGATATTGAATGCAGCCGTATGCTCAATGTTTACTTTTCATTGAATATCTTTTTATTAGGAAACTGGAATGGATGGATTGACTTCCTCCTTTAGCAACAAATACCAATTATCAAGTCTGCTTTGACCCAGCCCAAGATCCAACCCACAACATCTTGTATTCAAGACAAGCATGCTATCAACAGACCACTGAGGGGGTGAGGAAATGGTGACAAACAATAGCAAATACAAGGCTACTGTAGTAAATGCATCTATTAAACCCTAACTCCTGCAAAAGCATTGAATCAAAATGAGAAACTATATACCATGATCAGTTTATCAATTGAAGTTTTTTTTTACACAAAAACATATCTCCCCTCATTTATTTGCATGCAAGTCAGACAGGACATATACAGCCAATATATAAAAATAGTATCTTATTTGCATGAAATGTACACATGTAATATGTGCTGAAGAAATGTTACCAAATTCCATTCCATTCCAATCAATTTATACAATTTATGGGAGATTTTGCATCAACTACTATCATGACTCCAATGTAGACATGCTGAAATATGAATAAAAGGAGTGTTAAAGACATCAACTCAAATCAACAAATTGGGTCACTGAATATTAAATATACCTCAATTTCAGGGTTGCAACCATTGAATGAAAATCTGCCAAATTTCAGGTTTTCAATTCTCATGATACTTGGTTCTGCAATAAACTTGCTCCTAAAACAAAAGAATAGGTGAATAGTTATTATTTCAAATGATGTATTTAAGTGTAAGGAATCTTCTACATGTATATTTTCTTTTTTTTGTGATAATAGTGGTAGTGACAGGAGGGGTCAACAAATATGCTTTTGTCATCATAAATAAGCCAATAAGGCACTGTAATTGCATTGTCATAATCTATTCTCAGATATTTTCTGAGGGAAATTTCTAAAAATTTAATCTTCTTATCTCTAAAACTGTTAAAGCTTTTAGTCTTAATAATCGTACTCAGAAAATCTTATTTCAGAAACACATAAAGTGCTCACTAAAATCAGCATCATACATTTATATCACTACCCTTCGTTTGAAGCTGCTGCAAAAAGTATTGTTAAGCCTACGCAATATGAATCATGTCAGACTGATAACAACAAAGCAAAATACAAAATATTGTAAAGAACTATATATATACATACCATATAAATAAAAAAAGTTATGGGTAGACATCAATGAGATGACAACCCAACAAGTAAAACCAAAAGACATGTATACAGTTACTGAGGAAAATATCTCATCTTGAAATTTAACCTGACTACTGCAGCATAAATAAATGTGGATAGTGTCCACATGTGGACACAGATGATGCCCCCGCTTGCATATCATATAGTTATAAAGGGACATAACTGAAGAATGGTAACAGTGACGTTACCAAAATTTGAACTTGATCTGAGTTTTGTGGTAATGAATATTGTGTATAGGTTTCATAATCATTAATGTTTGGTTGGGGCAAACTTAAGTTACCATGTTACAGAATGGAAACTAAAAATTTTGCAATCTTTCGATTTATAAAGGGGCATAACTCAATAATGGTTAAAGTGACACTACCCAAATTCATTTTGATCTCTGTTTTATCAGTGGAAGTCAAAATTAAACATTGCATTGTATAAAGCATTGATTGTAGTTGATTCAACTATAATCATGGACAAAGGAAGATAACTCCAATTTTAATAAAAATTACTTGATATTTAGAAGAAAATAAAATTTTTGCAATTTTTCCATTAATAAAGGGGCATAACTCTAGAATGGTTAAAGTGACGCCACCAACATTCAAACTTGATCTGTGCTTTGTGGTAATAAGCATTGTGTATAAGTTTCATAACATTTGGTTGAGGCAAACTCAAGTTAGAGAACGGAAACCAATTTTGGGATGTACGGACGTACGGACAGACGGACAAGGGTAAAACTTAATGCCCCCTCCGCTATGGCGGGGCATAAAAATTAGGTCTATGTTAAATGACTTATGCCAGATACTCTTCACAAGCAATCTACATAACAAATATTGCCAAACTGTCATGAAAAACTGTTGATGAATAGCAATAATCCTGAGAAGGCCTAAACACTGATCTTGAATTGAGATCAATGCCATATAAAAGGCAGACATATACCTGACTATGTGTACAACTAACAAACCTCAATACAAATACCAAATACAGTCAACCTATCATATATAGTAAATTGGGAACAGACTGAAACAATCTGAAAGCAATGGAACATGTTACATGAAAATGAGATCATAATCGGGTAACAGTGAGAGAGTAACAAGTTCTCATCATTAACATAAACAACCTCCCTGCAAAACACTGTAACTTAGGTGAAAGTAGGGATAAGACTAATCACATCACACTCAGATTAAAACTAAATTCATTGAAATCTTTCTATAAAAGAATTATATCATTATATTAAAGCCAGATCGTTTCATAAAAGAATTTTTAGTACCGGTACATTTACGCATGGTCCACCATTCACCTCATATTTTCAATAAGTCATATGTCCGATAAATTCACTCAATATTTTCCTTTTCAGGTTTTTTTTTATATTTTAGATATAATAGAATGCTTTAGGCAAAAAACTCCCTCAGGCAAAGTTGATCTTAGCTGAATTTGGCAATTCTTTGACGGTTCCTTTTAGCACTTTTGTGTTAACATGAATTGTCATTGATATATCAATATTAATAAATTAACTGTTTCCTAACTTTCATTTGCTTGAAATTCTAATGATTTTCTAGTTCAGGAAAAGCTTATCTTATGATAAGCTGTGTATTTGGAAAAACCTTTCAGATTTTTTGGCCCTCAATGCTCTTCAACTGGTTCTTTCATTTGTCCTTAAATTTTTTAATTTGAGCATCACTGATGAGTCTTTTGTAGACAATTATAAGCCTGGTATCTTTGATGAGTTATTGGTCATTTATCTTGTATCTTTTCTATATATTTATACATCCCTGGCTTTTAAATATTTCAGTTTGTGCGTTCCTGATTAAGGTAAATCCAGAAAAGTGCTTTGATTACTAGCCTTTAGATTTCTATGTTGTGTTTTTTGTAGACTGTTGTTTTTCTTATGGTATTTCGTATGTTTGCCATGACATTGTCAATTTGTGTACAGTACTGAAATAAATTTAAATACATACTCTTTCTGTTTAGTTTCTGGAAGGTCAAGAACCCAATGTTCATCATCAATTACTCTCTTCTGTTCTTCTTCATGCTTCTCTTTTTCAATTCTTAATGCACTTCTTTGCATAAACTGGAGGACAAAAAAAAAAGATTATTTAGTTCCTTATAAATCCCCTGGATGCAAATTAAATGCATTCTGCTAACAAAAATTGATATCTTTAACTATGGAGAAATAAAACATAACATCAGTTATTAGATTTTAACAGATGTGAAATTAAGCATTATGCAATTTAGGTACCGTTAAATTCTTTAAATAAGCCGCAGGTTTTTTTCTCTGTCATTGTCCCTGCGTGTTATTCTCTGGTGCGCTTTATGTATGTATTTTTTCAGTGTTTCAGGGCAAGTGTGAAAAAAAAATTATATCTGGATTTTTTTTAAGGAGACTGTCAGATTGTCAAGTGCTTGCAGTGACTTGATAAATTGCATTTATTTTGTTATGAATAAAAATATATATACTTTATCAACCAAATGTTATGAGACTTAACCACAATGCTTATTACCACAAAACTCAGATCAAGTTCAAATTTGGGTAACATCATTTTTACCGTTCTTCAGTTATGTCCCTTTATAACTATATGATATGCAAGCGGGGGCATCATCTGTGTCCACATGTGGACACTATCCACATTTATTTTTTCAAAAGAAAAGACAAAATATGAAATTTAAATATAAATAAAATGCTTCGCTGGGCGCAGCTTGATACGACCGCAGAGGTCGAACCCTGAACAGTTGGGGCAAGCATGGACACAACATTCAAGCTTGATACAGGTCTGAATTTGGATTGTGATTAAATATTTGACACAGCATAGGTTTCTGACACAGAAAGAATGTGGTCTAAGAACTTGAATTTTTTTAATTTACCTATTATGGTCCAATGTCCAAAATCAAAATACATGGTTAGATTCAGCATATCAAAGAACCCCATACATGTATATTCAATTTTTGTTGAAATCAAACAAAGTTTAATTTTGGACCCCAACTTGGACAAACTTGAAAACTGGGCCCATAATCAAAAATCTAAACACATGTTTAGATTCAGCATATCAAAGAACCCTAAGAATTCAATTTTTGTTAAAATCAAACTAAGTTTAATTTTGGACCCTTTGGACCTTAATGTAGACCAATTTAAAAAACGAGACCCAAAATAAAAAATCTAAATACACGGTTAGATTTGGAATATCAAAGAACCCCAATAATTCAATTTTTGATGAAATCAAACGAAGTTTAATTTTGGACCCTTTTGACCTCAATATGAAACAATTTGATAGCGGGGCCCCCAAATAAAAAATCTAAATACATGGTTAGATTCAGCATATCAAAGAACCCCATATATTCAATTTTTGTTGAAATCAAACAAAGTTTAATTTTGGACCCCAACTTGGACCAACTTGAAAACTGGGCCCATAATCAAAAATCTAAACACATGTTTAGATTCAGCATATCAAAGAACCCCAAGAATTCAATTTTTGTTAAAATCAAAGTAAGTTTAATTCTGGACCCTTTGGACCTTAATGTAGACCAATTTAAAAAACGGGACCCAAAATTAAAAATCTAAAAACACAGTTAGATTCAGCATATCAAAGAACCCCATATATACAATTTTTGTTAAAATCAAACAAAGTTTAAAATTTTGGACCCTTTGGACCTTAATGTAGACCAATTTGAAAACTGGACCCAAAATTAAAAATCTAAATACACGGTTAGATTCAGCATAACAAATAAATAAATGTGGTCAAAGATTTTACAAATCTAATGCGCCATACTGTGCAATTAAAGATTACTTCTTGAAATTTTTCAATATTTGAAATTTGAAAAAAAAATAATATTTGAAGAATAATTCTTTTTAATTTCTGAAATCTGAAATGAGAAAAAATTGACCCCCCACAATTTCTTTTTACCCCTCCCCCCTTTTTTTTCCCCAAAAAATTCTTTCCCTCAAGATATGGTCATAATCTCAATTCAAATTCCCAATGGAGTTTGCAACCATAATTACCCATTTAAATTTACCATAGTGCTAACTTAATCTATTTTATAATAGAATTTAAAATATAGTGTCAAATCTTTCATATGGATTTTTTTGTAAAAAAAAAAGATGCAACATTTGCAGATGTTTTTACTGGTCTTCCTTTATAAATATGCATTTCTTTAAACATAATTTAAAAGCAGTGTAAGGGAAGTAACCAAAACGTTGTATTTGGATAACCTCCCTTACACTGTTTTAAATTATCTTAATTGTTCATTAACCATTACTTTATACATAATTTAAAAGCAGTGTAAGGGAGATAATTTCAATGATGTATTTGATTTATCTCCCTTACACTGCTTTAAATTATGTTTTGTACTAAAATATTTGTCCATTAACCAGGACAACCTTGTTTTTCCCCCTTTTTTGCCCCTAATTCCTAAACGGTTTGAGCCATAACCACAGCAATAGTGCTGTATTGATGTTCTTTTTTTGTCCACACCATACCTACATGTAAGTATGATTTGAAATTATTCAAACTACTCTTTCAAACTTTCTGTGAGTGATTTCCCTCACTTTGATTATATTCTATCAGTGTCTTACATGTACCTACTTCAACCTTACATAATTTTCTATTTACTGTAACTGGATGTTTTTAAAGTAGATATGGAAGAGTGCATGTGTTAATTGAATTTGGAAGTACAGTGAGAATTTGGCCGAACTACTATGCTGGATCCTTTTTACAAAAAATAAAACTTTTACCACTAAAATAGATAGCTCCAAAGATGTAAACCATGTAAAAAGAAAAGAGACCATCACTATCATACATTTTAAGCCAGTTTGCAGACGCTACTCTCTTCATTGATAATTATATTTCTCTTATAAATAGAGTGGCAGAGTTGACGTTCTCCAAGTACTATCAAATTCTTAAAAATGACTACCTATTGTCAATTTACATCAAAACTGTCAGACCACTTCTAATAGGAGTTATTGCCCTGAAGGTCAAGGAAACAGTAAATGGGCTATTTACATGTAAGACACTGATAGAATATAATCAAAGTGATGGAAATCACTCACAGAAAGTTTGAAAGAGTAGTTTGAATAATTTCAAATCATACTTACATGTAGGTATGGTGTGGACAAAAAAAGAACATCAATACAGCACTATTGCTGACAATTTGAAAACAATTATCATGATTATATGACACTGAAGATTAAAATTTGTAGTGCATATTTTAATTCAATTTATAATTTTATATTTTTTGGAAACAGGCATTGAAAGTGTACTTTTCAACACAAACTAAAAATCTAATTTTATTGAAAATTGCAGAAATACACTTTCTGTAAAATTGTGAAAAGACATTTGATAAACTAAAAAAAATTGGTTTGATCAATTTAGAGTTTCGAAATTTTACTCCCTGTTTCAAGACAATCATATAGATAAGTGTAACCTAAATTATTGATTATTGCACAGATTTATCAAGTAAAATATAGACCTTTTTTATATTTAAATTTCATATTTTGTCTTTTCTTTTGAAAAAATAAATGTGGATAGTGTCCACATGTGGACACAGATGATCCCCCGCTTGCATATCATATAGTTATAAAGGGACATAACTGAAGAACGGTAAAAGTGACGCTTCCCAAATTTGAACTTGATCTGAGTTTTGTGGTAATAAGCATTGTGTGTAAGTCTCATAACATTTGGTTGAGGCTAACTTAAGAAGAGAACAGAAACTAAAATTTCAGCAATTTTTCTATTTGTAAACACGCATAACTCTAGAACGGTTGTGTATAAGTTTTATAACATTTGGTTGAGACAAACTAAAGTTAGAGAACGGAAACGAAAAATTCAGCAATTTTTATGTTAACTTAATCTGTATAATGTAGTAATAAGCATTGTGTATGAGTTTCATAACATTTGGTTGAGGCAAACTAAAGTTAGAAAAAGGAAACAAAAAATTTGTACTTGATCTTAGTTTTGTGGTAATGAATATTGTGTATAGGTTTCATAATGTTTGGTTGGGGCAAACTTAAGTTACAGAATGGAAACTAAAATTTTTGCAACCTTTCGATTTATAAAGGGGCATAACTCAATAATGGTTAAAGTGACACTACCCAAATTCAACTTGATCTGTGTTTTATCAGTGGAAGTCAAAATTAAACATTGCATTGTATAAAGCATTGATTGTAGTTGATTCAACTATAATCATGGACAAAGGAAGATAACTCAAAATTTTAATAAAACGCTTGGCTGAGCACAGCTGGATATGACCGCAGAGGTCCAACCCTGAACAGTTGGGGCAAAAATGGACACAATATTCATGCTTGATACAGGTCTGAATTTGGATTGTAATAAATATTTGACACATAATAGGTTTCTGACATAACTGTAGTCAAAGAACTTAGAATTGGTTATACACATGTATGAATTGAATTTATATTCAATTTTTTGCTTTTGTGCAATACACCATGCTGTTGTGTATTGACCCCCCCCCCCCCCTATTTTGCAAAAAAAAAAAATATTTGAAGAAATTTTCTTTTTAATTTCTGAAATCTGAAATGAGAAAAATTGCCCCCCCTCCCCCTAACCAGGAAACCCTCGTTTTTCCCTCTTTTTTGCCTCTAATTCCTAAACGGTTTGAGCCATAACCCCCCCAAAGTCAATCCTAACCATCCCTTTGTGGTATGAAAACTTGTGGTATAATCTCAGAAAGATTCATACACCGTTCCACAAGTTATTGTCTGGAAACTAGAAAAATGCTTATATGGGCCCTTTTTTGGCCCCTAATTCCTTAACTGTTGGTACCATAACCCCCAAAAACAATCCCAACCTTCCTTTTGTGGTATTGAACCTTATGGTAAAATTTCATAGAGATCCATTCACTTAAACAAAAGTTATTGTGCGAAAACCAATGTGTCTTCGGACGACGACAATGCCAACGTCATACCAATATACGACCGCAAAATTTTTTTGCAGTCGTATAAAAATTACTTGATATTTAGAAGAAAATTAAAAGTTTGCAATTTTTCCATTTATAAAGGGGCATAACTCTAGAACGGTTGAAGTGACGCCACCAAAATTCACACATGATCTGTGTTTTGTGGTAATAAGCATTGTGTATAAGTTTCATAATATTTGATTGAGGCAAACTTAAGTAAGAGAACGAAAAACTAAAAATTTTGTAATTTTTCCATTTATAAAGGGGCATAACTCTAGAACGGTTAAAGTGACGCCACCAAAATTCGAACTTGATCTGTGTTTTGTGGTAATAAGCATTGTGTATAAGTTTCATAACATTTGGTTGAGGCAAACTCAAGTTAGAGAACGGAAACCAATTTTTCTGACGTACGTACAGACGGACAAGGGTAAAACTTAATGCCCCCCACCGCTACAGCAGGGGCATAAAAAAGATCTTGTTGCTCCTTAATCATTTATCTTTCAGACATAATTTACAGAATCACTTTCATGACTTTATGTATTGTAGATCAAAAGTAAAAGGCACTGAATTAATCTATCATTTCTAAATATCAGATACTTTTGTGTAAATATAATCAATAATGAGGTCAAGTATTTGTGTATTCATATGCATAATGAAGGGTTTGTTTATTTATGTAAGACTGAGGTTGATTAAGTGGGTTAAAATTTCAGGTGAACAGAATCTGAACTGGAAAAAGATTTTCAGACTGCCTTTTGCTGTTACAAAAAATAGTAAATTACAGTGGTTGCAATATAGGATTAACCATTGCATTATTGCAACAAATCAGTATTTAGTTAAAATAAAATTGACCGATGATCCTTTATGTACATTTTGTAAATCAGAGAACGAGTCTATAGAACACCTATTTTGGAATTGCAAAACTGTACAAAATTTTTTACAGGATATTGATAACTGGTTCCTTTCTGGTGGAATAAGTCTCCCAATGAATAAATTAAACTTTCTTTTTGGAGACTTATCCAAGATATTCCCCAACAACCCATACAACATGATTTTTCTTTATATTAAACAATATGTGTATAATTCTAGATGCTTTAAAAAGAATCTCTCATTGCAAGCAGCTATAATAAAGCTGAAAGATATGTATAAATTAGAGAGTATGATAGCTGTAAAAAATAAAAAGATAACTGAATTTGACAATGTATGGAATGTTTTTGAAAAACTTTTATTGAATACCAGCTAATGTCTATTTTTGTTACAAAAACTTATGACTATTTAATTATAATCTATTTTAAAGAAAATATTATTGTCATGTTAAGTAGTTGATCTGTGTTGATGGCTGTTACGAAAGAAATATGTCTAGTTAATTTTGCAAATATTTTTTAACATAAATATTTGATATTTAAAATATAGATAGGGATGTAACTGGATAATCCTTTTGTTTTTTATTTTTTTTTATTTTATTTTTTTTTCCTTCTTCTTTACTCTTAACTCCAATCTATTAATTATCATTATTTATTTATTTATTTATTTATTTATTAATTTTTATATATATTTTTTTTTTTATCTTTTCAATAGAAAATGTAAAATATTTCCAATTAAGATGTATTTATAATCATGACATTGTATATATCTTATATGTATTATATTGTATGTATGTCATGTATATGTTGTAATTGTTGGAAATAAAAAAATAAAAAGTTAAAAAAAAAAAGACTGAGGTTGATTAGTAATTTAGTTAATATGATTGGCATTTAAGGATGTGGGACATTGTAATTAAGGCCCACCTTGTCTCTAATTGTTTGGTGATCATGGCAGATGTCAATAAAACTGGTATTGTATCATTACTCTTACCTAATTAAATGATAAAAATAGCATGCAAATTGACAAAAATTAAAGACATCCAACTTGAATGAACTGCCTCAAAGGTATAATCCAAATTTTTCACGGTTCATATGTACAGATGTACAGAGACATGAGTAATATAGGGTACTATATTTCAGTGTGTATACATTTAGTAGATTTAGTAGCTAACTTGTGCTACTTCTTGTTTGGAAGGCCAGTGCCTTAGGAAAAACTTGGAACAATAGTTCCAAACACTTTCAAAAAATTAAGGTAAATAAAAAGGGAGATTTAATAAAACATTAAAACATGAGAATCTAGAAAACTAACTTGAGCGATTTTTTTCCTCACGGTTCTAAGCCTAACTGTACATTTGTTTCTCTGCCTGTCTCACAAAATGATGCAGACTCTATTTTACAAGCTTGCAACCAATCATGTGTACAAATTGGTATCGAGATGAGACATTGAAGTTACATATTTTTTTATAAAGCACAGAAAGGGATACAGTAAAACTCCAGTCTTCACGATAAACTTTTGAATCTACAGGCCTAAAGCTGAATTTTAAGAAAATTTTAGTTAGATGATTTTTACAGGCCTGACAGCATTTTTAAAGCCTGGGCTGGTGGGCCTGTGGTTGAGCATGAAACTCCTGGAAATGGTACAATGATTTTAGAATAAGCCAGCAGTCAAGGATTTTGCAATACTTACAAGTCTTCTTCTCCTAAAATATGATAATTGAGTATGGGTTTTACCTGATTTTCTATTGTCTCAGGTTGTTGTAAAAAAATTAAACTTTAAAAGAGAAATTATAGATAATAAATATATTTTTTCTGAGAACCTCTGTCAACATAATTTGTGCATGGGCTAAAACATAAAATTTCCAAACAGTTTACATCGAAAATTTGAAACGACATAGTACACTATCCTTAGACATGTTTGTGAGAGCTAAACCCTCGGCCTCCCTTTAGACTTTAAACTGTGGTGTCACGGCCGGAGACATACATGTATATATATATATATATTATATGTCTCTGGCCAGAGTCTCGGCAGAGATATATATATATGTCTCTGGTCACGACACAACTGCTTGCTATGTAAGTATAGTACTATTGCTGAAATAAGGAAAATTGTGTTACCTTCATTTGCAAGACATTCTTAGACAAATTACCCCTCTGCCCTGACCCCCCTGCCATGGCTGTTGATGCTTTTCCCTTTCAGCCTTCACATGTGCAAGTTTTCTAGAACCGGAAGTTGAAGAAGACATGTGGCCGAATTTGGGATGGCATCTCGGTCCAAAAAACTTCGGTCCCTTCACAGTGAAATCGATAAGTTTCGCCAGGAACATATATATTGTTAGATATACTGTTCCCAGGTTTCGCAAAATCTTTTTTTTTTAAACTGGTCGAAAACCGCTTAATTATTTTTCTGTAAATACTAATGAAGTGCACTTTTCAATTTTAATGAAAGTTAAGGAAAAAAGAAGGAGAAATGCCTAGCTTCATAAAACATTTACTGATATGTCTTTAATAGTAGCATAACGTTATACCTTTAAAGCCATTCTATGGCTTTATACATCTATGATAGTAGAAAACTAGGCTTTTAAACATGCTCAATTTTCATTCTTAAGACCCGTTATGGCAACACTTTTAATACTTCAACGTGAATCCTTCACAAATGTGGATTATTATAATGTCTCCATAGCTGTGCCTTTTTTGTTTTGTCTGCTATTAAGGGTGAGATTTTAATTTAGGTGGTTTGGGCTATCCAAACTTTATATACATGTCAGACTGACGAGGAATGAACTTTTTCGGGGGAGCATAAAACAAGGAATAAAGCAAAGATTTAGTCAAACGTACTGTATTTGACTGAGGAGCTCCCGAAATATTTCGGGACCTCCATAATCAGTCGATTTCAGGATACATTTATCTTAAAAGAGGGACGTAAGATACCAGAGGGACAGTCAAACTGTTAAAAATCGAAATATTTTAGTATATCCTTAAAATAAATAAAGGATTCTGGTACAACAGATACAGTTAATTAAATCTGCCTCATATCTTGCCTTAGGGAGCTACCACTTGATTTTTATGGGGGGGGGCTAGGATGACAAATTGTGTCCTGCATTTTTTTTAGTTGTAATCTCTGTCCTGCCTTTTTATTTTTCACCCTATTCGGTCCTGCCTTTTTTTTATTAGTTTATCCTGTTTTTTTTTAATTTAAATTGTCATCCTGCCAAGTTGCTCATCCTGCCTTTTTTTTTACTCAAAACTCCTGTCCTGCCTTTTTTTCAAATTTCATCCTAGCCCCCCCCCCCCATAAAAATCAAATTACACAGTTAAGGGGGAGGGTTTGGCGCCAACAAACTAGTTTTACCCTGCCATATTCTGTATGTGTCTGTCCCAAGTCAGGAGCCTGTATTTCAGTGGTTGTCGTTTGTTGCTGTATATCATATTTGTTTTTCGTTTTTTGATTGATACATAAATCAGGCCGTCAGTTTTCGCGTTTGAATTCTTTAACATTTGTCATTTCGGGGCCTTTTATAGCTGACTAAGCGGTATGGGTTTTGCTCATTGTTGAAGGCCGTATGGTAACCTATAGTTGTTAACTTCTATGTCATTTGGTCTCTGGTTGAGAGTTACCTCATTGGCAATCATACCACATCTTCTTATTTTTATATTTTAATTCGAATTGAAGCATTAACGAAAACGCATTTATAATGCGAATTGGTTAATGCGAATTGAATTCGCATTCGATTCGAATTCAATTCGAATTTAACGTACGTGTGAACGAGGCATAAGAAAGATCTTACACGATTACATATATGAATCAAAGGCACTTTAAAATGTCACTGTATATAACGAACACATATATAATGACTCGAAGCCAAGCACGGGGATTAAAAGCAAATTAAAAACACTGTCCATACAACTATATATTTGTGTTGTAATAGTCTCAGAGCAGGTAGCTAGCAAACTTATAAAACGGACCGTGATACAAAAAAAAAAAACACAGCAGCGATAAGACGGGACGAGATGGATACGGTACGAGATGGATACGTAATCTTTAAACACATCAAGTATGAGGCCAAGTATTGTTGGAAAAGGAGTAACACGGAGGATGTCTTTAGTGGCCGACTAGTCTTGGTCCGAGTTGTCCTAATTCTAATTTCCCCTGATTAGTTCCCCTGGATGCTGCAGATGATAAGTGGCACATGTATGGAAAACAATTTCAACTTTAAATTAAAGTTTAATGTTGTACATTGCTACGAAGATTCCTAACGTATGTAAAGATTTGCTATCCTCCAGTTACACTAAGCATGCTAAGATGCTATATGAATATGCCTTTCGACTTAAAGTTTATAATGTCATTTTTAGTATGTTTAGGCACAGGCACTTGTTTTCTATCCATGGATAGTAGATCTTGCCATGGATAGAAAACAAGTGCCTGTGTGTTTAGGATTATTTTAATATTTCCACCTCCAGGGCGGACAAATCATAGGAACTTGTTTCATGCGATGACAAAGGCCCTTCCCTCTGTGCCAAAAATGAGGAGGGGACCTTTATCATCGCATGAAAAAAGAGTCCATGGTGTAGAATCTGAACGCTATTTAAAAGAAATGATGGACCACTCAGACCAGTGTATTAATAATTTCTCGGGTAATACCTGGGACTTAATCAGTGTCAAAGGGACTTGGAACTTCTAGTAGTATTAGTTAACTAAATTTTTCAGTGATCCGGAGCTACATATTTACTTGTAACTTTTGATCTACAGTACTTAAATTTATTCTGTAAATTATGTCTCTGTAACTGGAGAGTATGATTCTTATTATTATTAGAAAATCACATTGTCTCCTCTGGGACTCAAACCTGGGACCTTTGTGTTTGAAGTCTTCTACTTCTACCATTATGCGGCCACCATCAATATACTGATTATTTTGCCACTGTTACATGCGCATCCAAAAGTGGCAAAATAATCAGTGGTAAAGATTTGATATAAGAATAATGTGAAGATTTGTGCCATACATTCCATATACACATGTACAGTAACAGTGAGGTTAAAAACATCCTGGATGATGGTCTACATTGTCTCATGTAGGAAAGTCTTAAAACATTCAAGACTACCTGCACTGGTGGTGTTGAGTGGTAGTGCGTTCCAGTCCCTTATTGTTCTTGGATAGAACGATTCTTTCCTCAATTCTGTTCTACATGATGGATATTGAAAACCGTTGATGTTTAAGTTACTGGATATTCTGTCTGGTGGAGTGAGAGTGTCTTCTGTATTAACATTAACCATCCCGTTGGTAAGTTTGTACATCATTGTAAGTCTTGCTGCTTTTCTCCGAACTTCAAGGGTTTTCTATTCGAGTTGGGTAAGCATATATATATCTATTAGTGACATATCTTGCTGCTCTTCTAATGTACCATTTCCAGCCGGTGTTTGTTGTTCTGCTGGAAAGGGTCCCATACTGTGCATGCATAATCAAGGGTTGGTCTGACTAGGGATTTGTACGCAGTTTCCTCTATAGTGGTTTTATAGATGTTGAGGTTTCGTTTCAGAAATCCAATGGTCTTGTTTGCTTTGTTACATATGTTTCTGATGTGTTTGTTCCATTTCAAGTTTGAGATGTACACCTAGATACATGTATTTAGCAGATTTTAGATTCAAGGGTGTGGCCATGCAGTATGTACTCTCTAACAATAGGTTTGAGTTTTCTTGAAATTGTTAGTACATTGCATTTATCGGGATGAAAGTCCATTTTCCATTTGTTTCCCAGATTGCCAGTTTGTTGAGGTCCTCTTGTAAGTTCTCACTGTCTGCGTCTGATGCAATGGTAAGATATACTATGGTATCATCTGCAGAGTCTAACCCTTGAGCGAATATCTTCTGGTATGTTGTTTATGTAGAAGAGGAACAAACTGGGTCCGAGTACTGAACCTTGTGGGACTCCTGATTCTACATTGATAGTATCAGATTTTCTCCCTTCTACGCTCACACTAACTGAGCTAAAGAAGTGCTTGCCTAGCTCAATCTCTTACGGGTTGCATAGTATCTACTACCCCCACCCCAAGAGTCATCATACCGTTATGATTTTCACATCTTATACCCTGGCTAGAAATCCTCTCTAACCACTGTAGATTTTTTTGTTGGGCACCAACTGTAACTGGAGAGCATGATTCTTATTATAAAATCACATTGTCTCATCTGGGACTCAAACCAGGGACCTCTGTGTTCGAAGTCAGCTCTTTAACCAACTGAGCTAACAGACCTACCAACTATCTCAATTTTGGCAGTATCATCCCGATTTTTATGCCTCAACCCAAATCCTGATATCGGGATTGTAGAACAAGTCAAAATCCTGATTTTCACAAAATCTACCCAAAAACATTGTTGGTTTCCGATTTTGAAGTTTTTATGATCAATTTCTATAAATCTATAATTTTACCTGGCAACATATTTATGACAAGTTTACGACCCCAAGCTATTCAGCATTCACAACAGGTGTCATAATTGTTGTTACAGGTAATATGCTTATCTGATGGGTCATAATAATCCTCAAAATTAATTAATTTGTAAATAGAAATGGTCAGTCGGCATTTCAATTTTAATCAATTTATCATACGATCACAATTTGCAACGTTACCGGAAGTTTCATGACAAAATCGTAATTAACTGAAAGACGAAAACTGTAATGAACTCATTAGAAAAATCGTTTAAAGTTTTGAAATCAGACTTGTTTTTGTCCAGTTCTGATTTAAAATCGACGCCATATTATATTCACTTCTACTGTGTATAAGCCTCTTCAGGTAGCAGCACCTCTGAATACCAAGAAAGATAACTCTAATTTTATCCATTTCCCATTTCTCATTTCTGATAGACTAACTCAAGATCTGTCTTCATCCTTCTAACTTTAGGACATTTCGGTTTAGGTCTTTTGAACTTGGTGCAAAGATAAGAAGGTCTTTGGAGGGGGAAAGGTGGGAGGGTTTTCATTTTGTATCCTTTATTTTTTTAGGCCATTTTTCTCTATTCTTAAGTTATTTTACCAATTAATAAGTTCAAGAATCATGAAAATAAAAGAAATCGAGGCTTATTAGCTCATCATTAGTATACCAAAAGAAGAAAAATGAAGAGATATGAGACTATTTCAAGAGTAAAAAACTGCTTGCACACAGAAACACCGCAAAAATTGTAACCCTTACAGGAAAATCTCGTCGTGCACTAAAACCCCTATGGGTATTTTTAAAAGTTGGCAGGTCTGAGCTAAAGGAGTACCGTGGTACTTCCATAGCTCAACCCATTATGGCTGGCTTTTTTAAAAGTTGGCAGGTCTGAGCTAAAGGAGTACCGCGTTTACTTCCCTAGTTCAACCCATTACGGCTGGCTAAGTACAAAATGTATCTACTGGAACTACTCAAGGGAAGCAATCTCAAAGAAGAATTGATATAGAATAATAGGATGAAATTTTTTTTACAATGAAAAGATAAAATATAGAATCTGTATAAATTAGGGATGTCAACGAGTACTCGAGTATTCGAGTATCGCTCGGTAGTATAGAGTATCGAAAACATACTCGACTTATCGGTTTCCTGTTAGATTATTGCTGTCTTCTTTATAAAATTGATCTTCTTGAGAATCTCTCTGGGAAAATTAAATAGGCATCACTGATTAATCATGCTAGTAAATAAAATACATTTTGTTTCGAATCCTTGTGCTACATTGTGATTTAAAATGCCATCCGAAAATACATGGGCTATACCTAGGCTAACACTTTAAACTAAACATGTCTTAGCCTTTCTGTCACATTGGTACCGTCAGAGAAAATATTTTCGTCTGCAAGACTGTAATTACCAAGTTGCAAAAACAACTGCCCCAATAATTATAGTTGACAAGAAAATGTTTCCAAATGAAATAAATTCGTTTTATCCTCATGTTACCCTCAGTAAATGGTTAAAACTTGTAATCCTTACGCCTTTGTAAACATTACATTGTATATATGTGTTTTCTTAACGATTACCAAATACTATTGTTTGATATGGTTTTTCCTTGTTATAATTTTTAAATAGGTGTTTATTAAATTATATTGATTAGATTATTGTTTTTTACTTAATTAGTACTTGTAGGTAATGAACTATTAATTATGGTGTGTAATTCCTTGTCCCAGATACTAATGTAGATGGTTTTTCATCCGTTAACAAACCACAGAATGTAAAATACGTCTTTTAGTGTTTTCATGTTGTAGATATATTCCCGAGCGAGTACTCGAGTATCGCTAGATGAAACCAACGAATACTCGATTGATAATTGTTCACCAAGTTGACATCTCTAGTATAAATATATATATATACATGTGAAAGAATGCAAGTTGGTTATATATTACTTGTAAAATCAGTGCTATATTGATCTGTAATTAACCAATAATTGGATCACAATTATCAGTGATTCACTTGTAACAATTAACAAAATTGCATAATATTAACTTGTTTATTACCTGATCTAAACTCATCAAAATACAACTAATTTTACATTTGTTTATTCCATTTTTTTTCAGCTTAAATGTTGTGTCCATACTTGCCCCAACTGTTCAGGGTTCGACCTCTGCGGTCGTATCAAGCTGCGCATTTTATTGTGTTTTGGCCTGTTTTTCAATTGCCATAACCAATGGGTCAACTATTTTTGGTATATGGAATAATTGTAAGGTGCACTGTGATGATGATGATGTCTGTGTGACAGTTTTTAATCTGACCTTGACCTTAGTGTCATGGATCTTTAAAAATGTTAAGTTTATGTGACATTTATAGTAAAACCTTTCTCTTTAAGACTTCCAACATAAAATCAATGGTCAGAAAAACAGGCGAGACATTTCAGCTTGTACACTCTTGTTTAAAAGAGAATTTTTAAATGCTTTTTTACTAAAAAAATTTAAAATGAAAAGACAATCAAAAATACATTACAACACCCTATGAAAAGACCCCTCACCAACCACATAAAAGTTGTGAATGATGAATTATCTGGAAGAAAAAAAGAAAATGTAAAAACATGCATTGAAATTTAAGTATTTAAATAATTTGCTTAATAAATGAAAAATTCTGAAATTTTGGACACCATATAGACATGTGTATTGAGAGAAGGCTTTTAAATGCATTTTGCTATGCAGTAATGTGAGTGTTGTTTTCCTCAACAATGAATGGTGTCTTCTGTGTGCATTGAATTTGGGCCTTCCTGATTGAAAATATTGATGTGCATATGCTAATCCATCAAAAATAATACTAGTGCTGGAA